AGTGGAACCAAAAGTGGTTTCTTTGAGAATATCAATTTTATTGATAATACTTTAAGCAGAATGACCAGGAAAAAAAAGGGGAGACACACATTACTAGTATCAAGAATGAGAGAGGCCTCAACACTGCAGCTTCTATGGATATTAAAAGGGTAGTCAGAGGATATTACTAGCAATTCAAGCTGATAAATCTGACAATGTAGGTGAAATGGACAAAGTCCTAAAAAGACACAAATGGCCAAAGCTGACTCAAGAAAAAACAGACAACTGGACTAACCTTATTTCTACTACAGAAGTTCGTGTTCTAGTTAGAAACCTTCCCAAATGTCTTCACTGGTGAATTCACCAAGCATTGAAGAAATACTTATTCTACACAAACTCTTAAAAAACTGAAGAGACTATATTCCTAGTTTGTTCTGTGAGGCTTGTATCACCATGATACTAAAATCAGACAAAGGTATTACAAGCAAAAAGAACTGTAGAGCAGTGTCCCTCATGAACAAAGAAGAATTCCAAAGAAGATTTTAGCAAATTGAATTCAACAGTGTATAATACATCACAACCAGATGGGATTTATCACAGAAAAGCAGGTTTGGCTTAACATTTGCAAACCCATGTAATGCACCACGTTAGCAAATTAAAGAAGGACAATTTGAACATTTCAGTAGATGCAGAAAAAGCCTTTGTCAAAACCTAACATCCATGTCTGATTTTAAAAAATGCACACAAACAACTCTCAATAAACTAGAGAGACATGGAGAGTCTGGGAGGGAAGAGAATTTGGAGGCAGGGGGACCAGGGAGGATGTTGCAGGCACAGCTACAGTGAAAGATGCTGAGGATCTGGATGAAGACAATGGCAGTGAGAAAGGAGAGGAAGAAAAGAGCCTGAGTGATGTTTCAGAGGGAGAGCTGACAGGACTTGGGGATTAACTAGCCACCAAAGTAAGAGGAAGGATCAGATAAGCTCGAGATTTCCAAGTGCGTGTGTTCGAGTGGAAGTAATGTTCTCACCCCTCAGAGAACACAGAAGACGAGATGTCTGCGGGGAGGGTTACTCTCAAGGGACTGGAAGGGACTTAGGATGCTCTGAATTGGGTTCTGGGTATCTTGTGGAGACGCCCAGTGAAAACTGGAACCGGGGCAGGGAGACCTTGTTCCTGAGGACACCTGTGTGTACCTGTGGAGAACCTGGTTCAACAAGTCAGAATTTGGTACCATTTCTCCAGATTTTATGCTGATGGTGAAGACGTGGGGCCATCAGATAATGAGCTCCGCATTTTCTTGGTCTTAGTCTTCTAGGGCAGAAGGGAAGTGAAGATTTCAGGTTGCTAAAGGCCATACCACGGCATGTTAGGCTCAGCTGAGAGACTGAGACTCATCCCTGGCAGAACCTGATGGGAGAAGGCTGGGACTGAAGCTGGAAAGGACGGGCATTTCGGGAGGAGGGTGGGTAGCAGGCTGTTGGTGTTACTGATCTCAGCTCTCATTTTCTCTGCAGTGGCTGTAAATGTGGCCGAGGACACAGCTCACCCCAAACTCGTCTTCTCCCAGGAAGGCAAGTATGTGAAAAACGGAGCGTCAGCCAGTTCCTGGCCGTTACTTTCTACAGCGTGGAGCTACGTTACTGGCTGGAGGAATCCTCAGAAGACCACAGGCTTTGTGGAGAGATTTCAGCACCTACCCTGTGTTTTGGGGAAAACTGTTTTCACTTCAGGGAAGCACTACTGGGAAGTGGAGAGCCGAGATGGCCTGGAGATTGCTGTGGGGGTGTGTCGGGAAGACGTCATGGGGATTACCGATGGCTCCAGAATGTCCCCCGAGCTGGGGATCTGGGCCCTTTGTTGGAGTTCTGCTGGCTTTCGGCCCCTGACGAGCTCCCCTGTAAGTCCCACCAAGCCAGAGCCCGCTCTTCACCGGGTGGGAGTCTTCCTCGATCACGGGGCCGGGGAGATCTCCTTCTACAATGCTGCGGACGGCGCGCACCTGCACACTTTCTCCTGTCCTGTGTCCCGCCTCCGGCCATTCTTCTGGTTGAGCCCGTTGGCCTCTTTAGTCCTCCCGCCAGTGACTGGTGGGAAATGAGGCTGTGTTTCTCTGCCCAGGAATCCTTCCCTTACACCCCAGGCCCGGGACACACACCCTTCACCTGCTCCATGTCGATCCTGGCTGGTACGTGAGTACCAGCCACTCAGATTCCGACGTCACGCTTTGTTCAGCTCCCTGGACGCCCTGTGCACAGACATAAAAGACCCTGCTGCTTACCTTTCCGCTAGCCACCTGTATTACTGAGAAAAAGGTTTTTTCTTACTCTACCCATCTGATTAATAATCCTTTGTCTCTTTTCTGGGTCTTCATATTGGACCCTCTCTTACCTTCTTAGGTGTGAGATGGGATCCATTTGTTAAAAATAAACTTCAGATGCTTCTGATGCACAAACAAGACAGAATAAACTTGCCACAGTCAGTTTCTTATTTTACTTAGTTTCTCTGAGTCTTTACTCTTGTTAATGTGTTATGACTGTTCAGGAGGGGTATTCAGTGTTTCTCAGGTTTATTTCACCACAGAAACTCTAGCTCTGGGAGCACCAATGAAGACTCCTCACAAGATAGTTTGGCCACTGTTTGTTCTGCACTTTCTCGAGATGATCTTGACCATCTCAGATTTCAACCTAGACTTGCCCCCACCCCCAGCCTCCAAAGCTGGTGGGTACACGTGTGGGTGCTGTAAGCTTCCCACACTTCGTGGCCCTGGGTAAGGGTCTGCTGAAGTCTTTTCCTCTGGGGACCAGGGTTTTGTTAGGGAAAACACTGGGCACATTTTAAAAAATATACTTTCTCCCCCTGCCAGAGCCAGGAGGGATCTTTCTCAACTTTTCCCCCCCTGAGAATTTGATGGGGTCCCTGGAGGTAAAACACATGAAAATATGCAGCTCCCCCAATACTGCAGCTCCCCAGAGTTTCTCACTGTGTAGCCAACCCACACTCCACCTCCAGCGATCCGTCAGAACGACCATGTGCGTATTCCTCCTTGTTTATGGCTCCAGTGGGTTTTGATTCTGCTGTTAACCAGATCTCAGTTTCAATTCTGTGGGTTTGCCTGTCCATCCAGCTTTTGGGGTGGCAATTGGCCATTCAACCTCAGTTCTCTGATGAGTCCAAGAAAAGCCATTGATTTTTCAGTTTTCTCATCATTTTCTTACAAAGAAATGAGTTACGATTTACAAATTCTTTATATGTTGACACTGAAACTGGAAGTATCCTTTTATAATATTAAAATAGGTTTCTTATAGAGCTCTGTAATGGTTAATTTTTTGTGTCAACTTGACTGGATTAAGGGGATGCCCAGATAGCTGGTAAAACATCTCTGGGTGTGTCTGTAAGGGTATTTCCAAAAGAGATTAACATTTGAATCCATAGAAGAAGATTGCTCTCCCCAACCAGCATGGACATCATCCAGTCAGTTGAGAGCCTGAACAGAACAAAAGACAGAGGAAGGGCAAATTCTCTGTTTAAGCTGGAACATCCGTCTTCTGCACTTGCACATCAGTGCCCCTGGTTCTTGGGCCTTCAGACTGGGACTGGGACTTACACCATCGGCACTCCCATTCTTGGCCCTGTGGACCTCAACTGGAACTTCCAGCATCAGCTCTCCTGGTCCTCAGGCCTTTGGACTTGGACCGAATTAAACCACCGGCTTTCCTGGTTCTTCAGCTCTCAGCACACCGTAGAGCTTCTTGGCTTCTATGATCACATGAGCCAATGGCCAATGATCTATTCTTTCAGATCTCTCACTGAAGAACCATGACTCATACAACCTCATATAGTTGGGTCTTGCTTATTTCCTATACAGTTTGTCAAGTCTTAACTGTTATTCGCAAACCATTCCCAGTTAAAGTGACTGTATAGTTGGATTAAAATATACTGTCTGGCTAGCTGCTTTCTATTAGTTTCATTTGTCTTTTTTTCCCCTTATCTGCCTTCTCTAGTTTTATTGTGCATTTAAAAATAAAATTCATTTTATCTTACTTACTTATTATTTACACTTCTTAAAATAATTTTTGAGTCATTGCTTTGGCATTTACAATGTACATTTTGAAAAGTCTGAATCAACCTTCAAATAACACGTTTCATGGATGGTGAAAGACTTTATAACCGTATCACCTTGATTCCCAGCCCTTGCTCTGTTGTCACACATTTCACTTTTAGGCTTGCAATGAACACCCAATTCATCATTATTATTAATGCCTTGAATGCTTATTTGCTTTAAACATCTGGTATGTTAAAAAGTGTTAAGGTGAATGAAATGACAAAAGTGGAAAGCAGATACAATGAAGAAACACAGGTTACTGAAGACTCTTAAGATTTTGGAAAGATACTTGTCATAGAATACTTATGCTGATGACTTAGAAGCTGTAGGCTACATTCAGGCGGCCAAGAGAGACTCTCAGGAAAGAGAAAAAATCACAGTTTCTCTGGAGCCCGGGTGCTGAGAGTCCAGCCTTAATTTTTGGTGACCTGGGGTCCTTTGGGGCCAAAAGAAAAATTCAGGAGACAGGTGATTCTGAAGTGGGAAAGATTTAGAGTCAAATGGATCATGGTCTTCTGAATGAACTTGAAAGTACAGCTTATCTGTTCTTCCTCACAGTTTTACCATTATTGGTGTCATGGTGTATGTAGCATGATGTGGCAACAAGCGTGGTGTCTTGCTTGTTGACAGATTATCTCATTTTGGTTTCTCATTTAGTGTGATGCACACACTTTCAGGTCTTGCTTCTTTATCCATTGTAAAAATCTCTGGCTTTTAATCTGAATCTACTTTGAAGCAATCTGTCACTTCATGTGTATTGAGAGACTTTAGTCCATTTATACTTAATGAAAATTGGTATCATTAAGTTTAAATCTGTCAACTTGCTTTTTAAAATTTTGCCCTTTCTGTTTTTTTTCCCTCTATTACTCTTTTCCTGATTTTTTGTTTTGCAGAGGGTGGTTAATAAAATATTTAAAATTTTAATTTTATTTCAATTATTTGTATCTTTATGGAGCTGTATCTCCTTTAAAAATAATTTTAAATTTGACATTTTGGTTAACTATTCTTCAACAAGGGTGACGAGTACACAATGAGGAAATTATAAGGCTCTTCAATAAGCAGTTTTTGGAAAACTGGATATCCACATGCAAAAGAATGAAATCCAATCCTTATCATACATCATACACAAAAATCAACTGAAAATGGTTTAAACAATTAAATGTAAGACCCAAAACTATATAACTCCTGGAAGAAAACATAGAGAAAAAACTTGAAATTGGCCTTGGCAATGATTTCTTGGCTATGACACCAAAAGCACAGGCAACAAAAGCAAAAATAAAGAAGCAGGACTACATCAAACTGAAAAGCTTCTGCACAGTGATGGAAATAGTCAACAAAATGAAAAGACAACCTATGGAATGGGAGAAAATGTTTGCAAACCATGATCTGATACAGGGTTAATAACCAAAATATATAAGGAATCCCTACAATTCAGTAGCAACAATTAAATGACCCTATTTAGAACGGGCAAAGGAATTGAACAGACATTTCTCCAAAGAAGACATCTACCAATGGCCAACAGTTACAAGAAAAGGTGCTCAACATAACTACTCATCAGGGAAATGCTAATCAAAGCCACAAAACCCACACTTGCTTGGATGGCTATTATCAGGAAAACAAAAGATGACAAACAGTATGGAGGTTCCTCAAAAAATTAAAAATAGAACTACCGTATGATCTAGCAATCCCACTTCTGACTCAATATCCAAAGGACTTGAAATCAATACCTCAAAGATACATCTGCACTCACATGTTCATTGCAACATTATTCAAAATAGCTACGACATGGGAGCAACCTAAACATCCATCATCAGGTGAATGGATAAACAAAATGTACATACAAAGAAATATTTTTCAGCCTTAAAAAAAAAAAGGGAATCCTGCCATTTGTGACAATGCAGATGAACCTGGAGGAACTTAGCTAAGTGAAATAAGCCAGGCATGGGACAAATACTACATGGTATCATTTATTTAACAAATCTGAAATAGACTCATAGAAGCAGAGATTAGAACGGTGGTTGCAAGGGGCTGGGGGAAGGAGACATGGGGAGGTACTAGTCAAAAGGTGGAGTTTCAGTTATACACGGTGAATTAAGTCCTAGAGATCTGTACAGCATAGATCCTGTAGTTAACCATACTGCATTTAAAAATTTGCTAAGAGGGAGTTAAGTGTTCTTATCACAAGAAAATAGTAAGAAAGGCAGGAGGAAATTCTGGAGGTGATGGGTATGTTTATG